AAAAAAAAAAAAAAAGGTTTCCCAAGGGACTCTTACTTTTTTTTTTTTTTTTGCCTTACTGAGAGTGTCTCCTGTCTGGATGATAGTGGTGCAATCATGGCTCATTGCAGCCTCAAATTCCTGTCTCAGCCTCCCAAGTGGTTAAGACTACAGGCACACACTAGGACACCTGGTTATTTAAAAATAAATTTATAGCAATAGGGGTCTTGTTATGTTGCTCAGGCTGGAACTCCTGGCTTTAAGCAATCTTCCTGCCTTAGCCTTAAAGTTGGGATTACAGATGTGAACCACTGCATCTGCCCCTAGGTGATTCTTTGTTATTTGTTTGTTTGTTTGTTTTTAGACAGAGTCTCATTATGTCACTGTTGGTAGAGTGTCATGGCATCATAGCTCACAGCAACCTCAAACTCCTGGGCTTAAGTGATTCTCTTGCCTCAGCCTCCCAGTAGCTGGGACTACAGGTGCCCACCACAATGCCCGGCTATTTTTTGTTGCAGTTGTCATTGTTGTTTAGCTTTCCCAGGCCGGTTCAAACCTAGCACCCTTGGTGTATGTGGCTGGCACCATAACCACTGTGCTACGAGCCCTGCTAATAAGCAGCCAAGGCTGAAAACTGATCAGTTTCCTTCTGACTAACATTAACACATCCACCTAGGAAAAAATTATGTGTCAACTGCCAGTCACTAATAAAAAGAGAACCTTAAAAGCGTGAGGCTGCTATTTTTAAAAAAAGACGGAAGGCTGAGCACGGTGGCTCAAGTCTATAATCCTTGCATGCTGGGATGCTGACACGGGTGGACTGAATGAACAAATAAAAGACAATTAAGGCAGCACCTGTGGCTCAAAAGAGTAGGGCGCTGGTCCCATATGCCAGAGGTGGTGGGTTCAAACCCAGCTCCGGCCAAAAACTGCAAAAAATAAAATAAAATAAAGTATATTTTTAAAAAAAAGAGAATTTCAAAAAATGATCACGCCAAATCTTACAGACAATAGAAAAAGAATACTTCAAAATCACTCTACTTCATCTGGATACACCTGACATTAAAATACTTTAAATAATGTCCTAATATGCAGAAAAGAAAATTATGATATGAACACTAGGAAGAATTCAACTTGCATTAACAGACTGCAAAGAAATATGTATTTAAAAGAACATAATAAATTCATTTTAAAAGAATACAGACAAATTGATTAAAGCATTAATAAGATACAAAGGAAAGATTTGAGGTAAAAAAAGTCAGCATTTATGGGTGAAAAAGGGTCCTATTGGCTCGGCGCCTGTGGCTCAAGC